CAGTCACTTCCAGCAGTGTAATTATACGAGGTTATATCAATATTTCGCTTTTTACATTTAATGAAAACAAAATAACCAAAATTGGTCCTTCTGGACACATCCTTGTATTACTCCACGTGGGGTTAATGAGCCCTGTCAGGCAAAACTAACGTTTAACACATATGAATGGTCAAAGTAGGTCTGCATCTTGCCTCAACTATTACAACCATAACACATACACTTGTTTTCGTACACTAGTACGTTATGTTACAAACCTTTACCAAACGCTGGGTGGTGAGGGTTGTTTGTGCACCGCTTCTCACTATTCCGTAGTCGTTAAAATTTCTTTTCTATTTAAAATAGCATAATACTCGACCACATTCGGTCTACTTCAGTTTACGATCATAGGATTTTCGATTGTGATACGTACGTAGTTTTTCTAACATGTTGTCATCTAATAAACCTTAACGCGAGTGCATTTTCTTCGGCTGATCTGTAACTTAATACCAAACATAAACAATAATATTACTCCAAAAAACAGCTGATTCCAAAAGTGAATTTTTCTACGATCAGCTGGAATCAAAATAAATTTGCGATTGTGCAGGGCCGTCATCAAAACTGTTATAATTTTATAATTTTTTATTTTGTTTCAAAAGTCAAAAGTGTTATAACATTTTATGCTCCAAATGCCCGTAGGAGTCTGTGGTATAAATAATAATTATTATAACGGGGACACCCTATATGTCTCTGACTAGACTTTCATGCCTGAGAAGGTGACCTACTAATATATCTCGCCTATTTCTTATTGACTTCCATAGTCCTTTGTTCTCCAACTCTTTCTAATACCTCTTCATTTCTAATTTTTTCTATCCACGGTATCCTCATCATTCGCCTGTAACACCACACATCGAATGCTTCTAACCTTTTCTTTCCCGCCGCTCTCATTATTCATGTTTCGCACCCGTACAGCGCCGTGCTCCAAACATACACCTTTAACAACCTTTTTCGAATTTCTAAATTAACCGTTCGCGAGCATAGAAGTGAATTCTTTTTATTGAAGGCGACTCGACCCTGCGCTGTCCTTTGCTCTATATCCCTACTACTCCTTCCGTCCTGACTTATATCACTGCCTAAATACCTAAAATCGGTCACTTCTTCTAATTTTGCAATTGTTGTGCTTCACTAAGAAATATATTTAAATTAATGCTTCCACACTGGAGTATTTTTAGTAGTGCGACAGACCAATGATGGACAATGTCGACGTCAAAAATTTTATAATTTCAAAGACTGCATTTGGAATAGCTGCAGTGCAGACTATACAAGGAAGAGCAGGGGAAGAAGGTATGACTGAAAAACCTTTTTCATTTCGACGTTAATCTTAGAAGGATGTATAGAAATCCTTTTATCAATAGATTGCTGTTGTAAGGATCGACCCAATATTTCCCATTCTTTATATTCTTCTTCTTTAAATAATAAAGTAAGCTCATCCTTGTCTTTCTTCTGCGACTTCATTTTAATAACTGTTTCTTTAAATTTGAAATGGATACGTTACTACATCGGCTACAATATCGAAACACTGCGAAAAATCGCTCTCTATACATATGAACCAGTAACTATCGCGCTACTGTAGCGCTACAAAATGTAACTCATGTGAAAAGGTCATAAACCAATGAAATTTCAATTGCTGGTTGTCGGATTTTCAACGAGAGGGTTTAGTTGAAACCTTTAAAACGAGCGTATAATGTTTATCAACTCTAAAACTCTACAAGGTGACAAAATCATCCTAATAGGTTATCATAAATCAAAACCTGATACAGCAGCAAGCAACAGAAACTGTAACAAATCGGTCATGCTGATGATGTATTCATATTAACGAGAAAGAGTAAACAGGAACTATATCCAAACAAAAAATAATTTAGTATAGTAATCAATAAATAATACAAATTAGGACAAACCACCTATCTCAATTACAATCTTGATTACCAATTTTCATTAGGTAGATTTTTTGTTATACCTATTAAACTATTATTATTGCTGGTGTTCGCTTTTAATTTTTTCTCTGCTAGAAATACCCGGCACTGCCGCGTAACCGGCGTCCTTTTCCGGTACCCGACCGGATCCTAAAAAAGGTGCTTTCTGCACTTTAAAGAACACATTTACTGTGCAAATACCCAGTTGAGTGTACGATTTTAATGAGTTAGCAACTAACCTTATAATGAACACGGCAGATTAATTATTATTTGGCATATTTATGATTACTAGTTTTTTCGTTGGCGTTTATTTAGCGATTGATATTAGTGATATTCCGACTAGTCGGCGACTAATCGGCAAAGCTCGCCGACTATCCGGCTTCTTACTTTATATGTATTTCTCAATACACTGTATATATGAGGAATTACACAAACTAAAAACATTGATTCTTAATTAATATTATTATTTTAGAATCAGTCTTATCTTCATCAATAAACATCGACAAATATATTCCTTTTATTTAAATAAAACAGTAGGAATTTGTATTATTAACAGATTTGGATTTACGACTGGAAGGAATACTCTGTGATCGAGCATTTCAGCACAGAACCTAACTGAGGTGTTACGGTTGGATGTCCCACCACGAGAATTGGTAAAAAAAAGTCCATACGCAAGATTGTCTTTTTGACATAATTAAATTATAATTGAGATCTTTCACTTTAATGAACAAGAGAAGTATTAAAATAATTCGAAGTGGTCTGTATTCTGTCGAAACTGCCAGACGCGGATCACGATTTCGATCTTTTTGGATCTCATCAGCGCATCGCAGGCAGCTCCGACAGAACTTTTACCTGCTGTCTTAACAGTACGTTTTAGAAAATACTACAAGTGGCGTAGTAAACGCCATCTGTAGCGCGATGCTACATTTTAGGATTACGTATGCTCCAACAAGGTCCACTTGTGTGGATATCTACTTGCCGAAAACGAATCCCGGCATAGCCAACCTCAACGTGATAGGCACGTTAGCTTAATCGAATAAAATAATTCGAAGTGGTCTGTATTCTGTCGAAACTGCCAGACGCAGATCGCGATTTCGATCTTCTGGATCTCATCAGCGCATCGCAGGCAGCTCCGACAGAACACAGACCAACTTTTACCTGCTGTCTAGAGAAATATTATTTTTTTACACAAAAATACTACTGTGACCCTTGCAAAAGTAAAAATCAAGAAACAATGCGAAGGAAGCAAAACTTGCGCTCAAATAAGCTGTAAACGAAGCATCATGGAAATTACCGAATATCCCCGAAACCGTGATCGGCTTGGCCGACTAATCGGCGGACTAGTAGGCCTCTTTAGAACCGACTGATCGGCTAGTCGGCCAAAGTCATAATCGGCACATCTCTAATCGATATATAGTACATACATACGTAATATTTCTTACCTGTGAGAAATATGCCGGTAAAAGACATCTTTGGTCGTCTAGCCGTGAACTTTGTACTCTTTCCAATAATTCGAACAAATCTTGTGACGCTTCTTTTATGTGGTTATCCCCCGTCATCGACCTGTGACTTGTCGAAACGGGGGTTGTCGCAGGTCCGGATGAATGCCACGTGGCACCTCCTGAATGCTGTCTTCTGTAACAAAATATGGAAAAATAAATATTGGGGGAAAACAAGTTCATGTACAGGTATATTTACATTTTATGAGTAGAAGAGCAAAATATATTAAGAAACCAAGCGTACCAGGAAAATGTGTCATAACACTTTTTATTCCACAAAAAAGGTTAAGTAAATTTCACTGTGTCAGTGAGAAGCTCCTTGTCAAATATTTTTTTAATAAATGTAAATACTAAAAAAGTTTTTTTTTAGTTCTTCAATAGATTAAAAGATTATTTGATTGATGGTTTTTTATCACTATTGTAGGACTATTGATAGATATCTTTTTGTTATTTACATCACCATTTCGTCGACTCATCAACATTAAAGTTGCATCGGATAGCGGTTTTGCCAGGCACCGGATAGTGGATTAATATATATATAATCAATATAAAATAATCGATTTTTCTAGAAAACCGTTAAATTTAAAAAAAAATTCGCATCGAATGGTATCATTTATAATATGGGTCATTCTATTCATCTTGTAAGTTAGTCAAGGCTAGGTTTCGATATTTCCGGCTCTGAATAACATACACATTTTGCCAATAGCAAAAAAAATACAAAAATTCATGCTAAAATGTTAAATCGAATTGTCCAAGCCAGAGGTTTTTGGCTTTTATGGTTTAAATGCTATTTGGTCTCATTCAAAGAGCTGAAATCGTTGAATATCTCAAAAATTACTAGAAATAGATAACGCAACTATAAATACTGCATTTGGAATATTTTTATAAATATTCGATGTTGTTTAATTCTGAGATATTAAGTAGAAATGATGTATTTACTATGGTGAAATTTTAAGAAACAATACATTATTTTAAAATAAAATAATTCGAAGTGGTCTGTATTCTGTGAAACTGCCAGACGCGGATCGCGATTTCGATCTTTTTGGATCTCATCATATCTCGCCTATTTCTTATTGACTTCCATAGTCCTTTGNTTTAAGACTGCTAACGACAAAACTATTTATTTACACTAATTATTAAGGAACTTAAAACACTATTAAATTATTACTAAACTTAGGTGATGAATTATTCTATTTATTTACACTACTGTTGATATATCACTATTCACTGCGCTATTTATTTCACTGCTATCACTGTCAATTTATTTCTACCTTTTTTTGACGATCGTCTTTTCCTTTCGGGAACCTTCTCGAACCGTCCGGAAAAGTTTCTTTTTCTTTGAACTGTTTAATTGCTTTCCCAGAACGCAGGTACGACACACACATTTACAAATCCGGCGCACATGAAGAAAGGCGCCCGCGGCTAGTCGGCGAATCGATAAGCCGCTCACACACACGTATGCCCGATCGCACACAAAACACGCATGTGCTCGCTACAATACTTTTTTACTGTCTCTATCTTCAAGGTAACGAAGATTATAGTTCTAATACATATGAATAGCGATAAATTAATAATCTAATGGATTGTATCTCGGCATGTAACTCATTTTTTTTTGTTGATCATTTCTTTTTGTCCAATTTTTCACATATAATTTAATGTCAAGACTGTTTTTTGTATCCGAAAACTAGGTGTACGGTATTCTATTTTTTAGTCTACAAAAAATGTAAGCAAATGTAAAACCACATGAGATTTTTTCTGAAAGAGGTGAAATAGTAAATTACTAGGAATGTACACATGTGAGTGTAACGGACTGTGTATTTTAATCACCTACTCAAAAATGTCCAAATTGCTCTTGACATACTGAAATTGATGACCAATAAATAAAATATAGAAACGGTATGTAAGGAAGTAGTTTTGAAGTCTGTTTCAAAGCAATTTCTCCAAACCGATTACAATTTAAGAAAGTCCACCTGTTCAGAGATGCCAATACAAAAAAAAATATTTCCAAAGACATGGCCCTCCACACTATCCATAATTTTTAAGGAAATGTATATAATATAAATTGATTTTAAAACAAATACTTTCTGCCTTTTTCTTGGAATTTTGGCGGATCTGGTGCTGAGCAATCAGTAAGTTCATCACACGCAGGTCCAGCGGAGGCGGAATAATTAATCAAAAAATTTCTTGTTAAATTCTAATACCATACCTATCGGTTATTTAGTGGCAATTGTCGACCGCATTAGTTTTTGATAACAACAATTTGTCTTGCTAACTTCATTACTTCATACACGTGATAAATGGTGCAATCTCTTCCCACCGGGCCACCGAATTATGCTCATAAATTTCAAGCATTCCCTTTCAAACCTGTTCACCCTCACTGGGTCTAAATAAAATTTAACCTTTCATCGGGCGCATATAATCTGAGAGATGAAGTGATGCGTTTTTCTTTTGTCAAATTCGTACTTTTGTGTGAGGCGGTGTAGGGGCTCAACAAGTAGCTTCTCTAATTACCGTCACGCGACAAATAAACAAAAAAACAATATTGTTACCGTTTTACTAACTGCTGGTCGTATGTTCGTAATCTGTAGGGTGAGTTGAGCCTGATCATGTGAAATTGTAAAAATTGTATTTTTGGGGATTTCTTTTAATATTCTACTTAATAATAATAATTTTTATAAAAATAATAATAATATTGATAAAACTAAAAGGACGTCTTTGAAAACTTTATCTCACGAGTTGTGTTTACAACAACTTCAAAGGCGAGCTTCTAAAACATTTGGAACGCCTATTGAACTACAGCAGGAACTATCCAAATTTAAACCTTAATCTTAAAAACCCAGCGCACCTAACACTTGTCACGAAGGACAAACAAAGAGCAGCTTCAAATGCAGAAATCTAAAAAAATTAGATACTCCAAATATGCATGTAAAAAATGTATGCATGTATTTTTTGTTTAGAGAACGCAAATATGGTT